TTGCTATTGCTATTGCTATTGCTATCCGGACCCTTCCCACTCTCTCGGCCTTCCGAAAAGCCATTAAAACCTGGCTGTTCCGGCAGGCCTGGGGCTGTTGACCCCAAAATACGGTCCATCCCCATCTAGAACTGAGTGTATGATGTGTGGTTTTTAAAACTATCTTTTCTTTTCTTTATATTTTGATTTTGATTTTATTCTGTATTGTAAGCCGCCCAGAGTCCTACGGGATTGGGCGGCATATAAATGTTATTAAATTCAAAATTCAAATTCAAATTCAAAAACATATCTACAGAACATCTGATTGGGGGAGACTTCTAGCTCTGGGTTCAAATTCTCTCCCCCTAGCCCACAATCAATGTACGGGCTGCACCGTTGCGCCAGCTGGGTTTCCCAAAGGCTCCAATTCCTCTCCGAGCATGCAACGCATGGCCACAATCGAGCCCAACGTTTCTGTTGTTAAGTGAGACATTTATTAAGTGAGCTTTGCCCCATTTTACGACCTTTCTTGCCCCAGTTGTTAAGTGAATCACCGCAGCTGCAGTGTTAGTAACCCAGGGGTTAACAGAACCTGGCTTCCCCCATTGACTTTGCTTGTCAGAAGGTCACCAAAGGGGATCACACAATCATGGGACAATGCAACGGTCGTAAATACGAGCCAATTGCTAAGTGTCCGAATTCTGATCCCACGATTCTGACGACGCTACAAAGGTGGTCACCATCACATTTTCCAGTGCTGTCGTAACTGTGGATGGTCCCGAAACAAAACGGTCGTAAGTCGAGAACTGCCTATACTCACCAAAGTGGAACCAGGGAGAGAGGTTGCTCAGGGCTGGCCGGTTGGGGTTGTTTCGGTCCGAGCCAAAGGACTTCAGCCTGTCCTTCACAAACTCTTCCAGCACCTTCAAGCCAAAGGAGGATCCTGGCGTGGCCCACTCCACCTCCTTCACAGAGCGATCCACTTCCAAGCTGGAGTAGCAGGCCTCCCAGTTGATGGGCTGCAAGATTTCAAGCAGGGCAGAGATGCCGGTTGCAAGAAGGAAAAAGAAGACGAAGTGGGGGGAAATCTGAGTGTCTCTCTAATGCTCCTGCGGGGATCTAAAGACCAGATCGACACAAGGAGGTTCAATTAAACCAGTGTTTCTCAACCTTAGCAACTTGAAGATGTCCGGACTTCAACTCCCAGAATTCCCCAGCCAGCGAATGCTTCTTATAATCATCTCCACTGTCCTCACCACTCTCTGTAGGGGCTTTCTACAGGCACTACGCATTTGCTGGCTGGGGAATTCTGGGAGTTGAAGTCCGGACATCTTCAAGTTGCCAAGGTTGAGAAACACTGAAGTAAACTAATCTATTGCTGAAAGCCTATGCGCAGGAATCTTCTCAAGTACTACAGGCCAGAAACGACGAATTTTGCAGCACCATGGCAGTTGTTTGCCCCTACGGACCACCATAGAGGTTCTCCAACATTCGTCCTGAATGTTGCCGGCCAAAATGGAGCTTGCGAGAGCCGTATCTACCCCTCAGAAGTCCCGTTTGGCAGTCCGGAGGCCTTCCCGGCAGCTTGCTGGCCGAAATGGAGCTTCCGAAGAGTGCACCTGCCCCTCAGAAGCCCCGTTTGGCCATCACGACGCCTCACCCACCCCTTGGTAGGCCCTCCGTGGCCTTCCCCACCGTCAAATACCTCATATGCACTTAACAAGCGTTACATCCTTTACATTCGGAGGCTACAATTGGTCCAGAATGCAGCCGCGCGAGCGATACTGGGTGTACCTAGATACACCCATGTTACACCTATCCTCCGTGAGCTGCACTGGCTCCCTGTCGGTCTCCAAACACGCTTCAAGGTGCTGGTTATTACCTTTAAAGCCCTACATGACTTAGGACCTGGATATCTCCG